GCCCAGTTTGATTGAAGAAATGGGGCTAGTAGATATATGGCGTCAAAGCCACCCCAAGAGGCGTGACTACACCTTTTATTCAAAGGTCCATGGAAGCTACTCTAGAATAGATCTCTTTTTTGTTTCAAAGAGAGATGCACATAAAGTTACAAATTGCCATATTGAACCAATAACAATATCAGACCACAGTCCAGTTGTTATGACAATAAATGTAGAGAACAATAAACAACCTAAACAGTGGAGAATGAACGTCTCACTTCTGAATGATCCAGAAATAGTCCAAAGAATTAAAAGAGACTGGGCTGAGTATATGGAACACAACGACAATGGGGAAGTATCAGTGTCAACTCTCTGGGAAGCTGGAAAAGCTGTGCTGAGGGGTAAGTTAATTTCTCTGTCATCCAAAATAAAAAGAGAACGTGACAAAAAACAAGTAGAGTTAGAAAATCGTATACGACAATTGGAGGAGGAACATAAAAAGACTAATGATGAAACTACTTCAAAATCTCTTGACGAATGCAGACAAACACTAAATACTTTGTTGACGCACAAGGCAGAGGGGGCATTACGGTTTGCTAATCAAAAGTATTATGAATCAGGGAATAGGGCCAGTAGGCTACTAGCATTTCAGCTGCGCAAGAAACGGGCAGATCGCACAGTGGAAAAGATAATGAATCCTCTCACAAAGAATATGCTGTCGCATCCTAAAGACATTGCAGAAGCTTTCTCAGCTTACTATGAGACACTTTATGATTCAGAGGAAATAGACAGTAAAATAGAGAAGATTAAGAATGTGTTGGGTGAAATTCAACTACCCAAATTAACTGAAAATGATGCTAAAACGATGAGAGATCCAATCACAAAACAGGAAATTGAGGAGGTTATAAAAAATTTAAAGAACAACAAAGTGCCGGGAGTCGATGGATTCCCGGCTGAATTTTATAAGCATTTTAAAACTGAGGTCACCCCCCTATTACAAAGAGTATTTAATTATGCCCTCACAAATAAGGACCCCCCAAAGTTTTGGTCAGAAGCAATAATATCTATAATTCCCAAAGAGGGCAAGGACCCCACAAATTGCTCGTCATACAGGCCAATAAGTTTGCTCTGCTGTGATTTGAAAATTTTAACTACAATACTGGCAAACCGAATTCAAAAATGTATCCATACAATAATTAAGCCAGACCAAACAGGGTTTATAACGGGACGTTTAGGGATAAATAATATTAGGAGAACCTTAAATGTGCTCTCTGTGGCGAGGCAGAAACAGGATCCTTCAATGCTTCTCAGCCTTGATGCTGAGAAGGCATTTGATAGGGTGGACTGGCAGTACCTGAAACACACACTGGCAAAAATGGGATTTCATGGAGACTTTATTAAATGGATCAGTGTGCTATATTCTGGACCCACATCCATTGTACGGGTGAATGGATACTCCTCAAGGAAATTTGGTTTAAAAAGAGGAACTAGGCAGGGATGTCCTCTCTCGCCTTTACTATTTGCTATCAGCATTGAGCCCCTGGCAGAAAGAATACGGACAGACCCTAGAATTCATGGAGTAACAGCAGGTGGAGTCACTCACAAAATATCATTATATGCGGATGACATTATTTTGTATATTTCTGATCCTCTGAGCTCAATCCCTAGACTTATGACTAGTTTAAAAGATTTTGGAGAAATTTCAGGCTATAAAGTTAATGAAACCAAGTCAGAAGCTATGATGTTAGTGGGAAAATGGCCTACAGGTTTAGATAAAGAGGTCACTTTCAATTGGTCCAAGAGGGGATTCAAATATTTAGGTGTGATGATTACACCACAAACTTCACAACTACCAAATGAAAATCTTAGTAGATTAATCACACAAATAAAATCAGACCTGTCTAGATGGGAGATTCTCCCTCTGTCCTTTTTGGGCAGAATAGAAACGGTGAGAATGAATGTACTCCCACGATTAATGTATCTATTTCAGGCACTTCCTATTTGGATACCTACCTCCACTTTTAAAACTTTAGATAAAATTATTAATAATTTTATTTGGCAAAGAAGGAAACCAAGAATCAGACAGAAATTACTGTTAAGTCCAAGGAGAAAAGGTGGCCTTGGTCTGCCTAATTTGAAACTGTACTACTGGGCAGCACAACTTCGTGTTGTGGTCGAGTGGCTTTTACAGGATGAGGAGACGAACTGGATTGGTCTGGAGAACAATGCTTGCCCACTGGTACCTCTTGAAGCGATGCCATTTATGGAGGGGAAAAATTGGAAGGATTTAAAAATTGAAAACGAGTGGATTA